TAAACCAGAGTTAGAAGAGGGCACTACTAACTCTGTTTAAACCAAGCTGTTTTTTTTTTTTGAAAGGATGAAATTATTTTACACCGCAATTCAATGGTTTTTGCGCTAAAAGCTCAAAAATCGGTCTCCCCAGAGAAATCGCACATCACATCACTAATAATAATTTATATTTATAATTCGGTCAACTCAGTATTACTATTGTAGACTCCAGGTGGTAGCTTCTCTGGCTGGTTGTATCCTAACTTCCATATGATAAAAATGTAGCAAAATATCATTGAGGTTGAGCATAAAATAATTCTTTCAGTGTATCCGACGGGAAAAAAAAACGTTTATTTGACTACGAGTTAGAGAAGGTTATAAAAAACTAGGTGATTTTTAAAATGCTCACCGTTTAGGCTACCTTAAATCAATTTTTAGGAAAATTCATTGCCTGACGAGGGAATTCCGCGTTAAATTGCACGCGAAAACTGACATCGCATGAATCGCGAAGCACGGTTTTCGTGTGCAATTTAACGTGGAATTCACGAGTCAGGTAATGGATTTTCCTTGAATCGCATAATAGAATAAAAATAAGAAAAAATAGAAAACAGCAGTAATATTGTTTGTTTTTATCCTGAGCGCGCAACGATCGTGAATTTGATAAACCGAATAAAAAGTACTGATAATGGTTACTTGACTAAACCTCGGCTGCGAGACCGCTGAAGACACTTCACAAGCAAACCTATTTCAACTCAACTCTATGTTCAAACGCTTTTGTACTGTATGGTTTAAGGAAATAATTATAAAGGGGTCAATTTCTTATCATGAAACATTCAGAGGAGATAAATAACCGAAACAAAGCCAGGACGAAAAGGGGCGCGAACTCGAGAGGTTAAAAAGACCGATACCCGCAATACAATTTAGACAAATTTCCCCTCTTGAAACAGACCTGTAGCGTATGCAGAATGGACGGAATTCTGTGAAATTGACCAAATGAAGAAAATGAACGTTTTTATTCTTTTTTATTTATTTTTTTATGCAATACCGTTCACTCAGCTGACTCGGAAGAGTAACTCGACGGCAAATTTTCAATTCTCAAACTACTCGACATATCGATTGTCAGTAAAATAAAAGGAATGCAGGAGAATGCAGACATAGTTTGAGAGAGTGATCTCTGGTAACTGACATTGTGCAATTTCATATTTCTGTTTATGAGCTGTTTTGCGTCAGAGCTTTCAGAACGAGGCATATTTCCCGTATACTGTACTTCATATTTCTGTGTTAAGTGTTTTTTTTAAGGCTTAAAGAACGAGATTTGAAGTATTCCGCGCTTGAAGAACGAGGTATCTTTCAAGTCATTCGCGCTTGAAATGGGCTGTTTAATAATTCAGGACTTTAAGAACGAGGCATATATCCCGTATACTGTACTTAATATTTAAGCGCGTTCTTTTTTTTAAGGCTTGAAAAACGATATTTTAAGTTTTCCGCGCCTGAAGAACGAGGTATCTTTCAAGTCATTCGCGTTTGATATGGGCTGTTCCGCTTCATGGCTTTAAAAAAACGAGGCATATTTAGCTATGTACCACGCTTGCTGCATTTGCTCAAATAAAGCGCCGTAAGTCGCTGTAAGTCATTCGCGCTTGATATGAGCTGTTTCGCTTTATGGCTTTAAGAATATAATTTTGCCCATTTTATCGGAAAACTACGTTTCCCATGGGAATCTACTGATGCGTATTGGAAATGTACGGCAAAAAAAGTCCACATCTCCTGTTTTTTTTTTTTTAGTGCTAAGGTCCAAGAAAAACAAAACCGAAAATTAGGAAAATTTTGTTCCACTATTAGTCTTGAAATGTAATGGCATGGTTTCGAATCCTGTCCGAGCCTGATTTTTTTTGTTTTAGTCAACTTTTCTGCAATTAGTAAAATTGCAGCTCACCTTCGAGAATCATGTCTTTATTTGATTTTAATCCGCAAGTCAAAAGAAACTTATTTCATCACAAATTCATATCGAAAAGTCGCGCAGTAAAATGAGCCTTCGTTTCGACAATAAAATGTTTCTAAATGTTTTGTTATACGCACTTAAAAAAATTTGAAGGACAATGACCAGAATGTAACTGAAGCAAATATTAAAGGGCTATTAAGCGTCCTATAAAAGTAAATAGGCATAAGGGCGGAGGAGTTGACATTTACTTCTGTAGCTCAGTTGGTAATAATATTTTGGGAGGCCTGGGTTCAAACCCCGTCCGAGCCTGAATTTTTCTTAGTCTTCCTTTTCTGCAATTGGTAAAATTGCAGCTTACCTGCAAGGATCATGTCTTTCTTTAATTTTACATCGGCAGCTCCAAAAAAATTAATTTTTTTACAAATACACAGCTTAAACTTGCGCAAAGAAGAGAACCTTTGTTTTGACAATATACTGTTTGTAAACGATTGAAATGTAATAAACAAAATATCCCCTGTTTGACCTAACCATGTGTTCTCCAAGTGGAAGGGGAGAGGTGGGAATGTTTATTTTGAGCAGTCATTGTTACGTTGTTATGTTACGTTAGGGGAAAGGCTCCATAAAAGGTGAATTTAAATGGGATCAGTAACGATTGAAATCGGATTTTCAATGCAGCCGATCGCATGGGCCAGTGGGCAATTAAAATTTAGAACCGAGTTTTGGTAAATACGCGATGTGATTTGTTCGATTTTGATCTGAATATTACGAACTAACAATATGTTCTCAAAGTGGGAGGGGGAAGTGGGAAGGAGGAGGTTGGAATTTGTTGATTTTGCTATTCTTGTTAACTTCAAATTTCTTTTCGACTGGCTGAGTTTTGAACTCTCCATCTTTCGGTAAATTGCGTCTCTCTGAACCCTTTTTGAAGCTAGTGGGATTAACAAAATTTTAATAGAAACTGAATCCCACTCCCACTAATAACAACGGCGATGGGATTTCTATTAAAATTTGAAACGGGGTCTTGGCAAATATGCCAGTTGGGATATAGGATTTGATCCTGCCATTATGAGCTGTAAACTGGCTCCTCTGCAACGCATGGACTTAAGGGCAATTAAAATTTGAAACCAAGATTTAGTAAGTACATGAGCTGAGATATTGGATTTGAGTCCCAACATTACAAATTGCTATAGTTTACACGTGTGACTGGGTCTGTATAAGCTTCTTAAAAATAAGTCTCATGGGATAAGCAATAAATGTTGTTTACTTACAGTCCAATCAACTTGGTGTTGTAGCTGAAGACTCCACGTGGTAGCTCTGCTATCTGATTGTCATCTAAATACCTACGTAAACGATATTAAGAAAGACAATAAAGCAAATTAATCATCTCATGAAGTTTTAAGACTTACAGAGTTTGCAAAGTACATCTGTAGGAATAGAAATTAACTCTTAACTTCTTTCCAGACTCCTCTTCTACTGAGGGAGACCCTTGGAATTTCGGCCAAATCCCTCGAGACCTTAGTTACCGGTCATCATTTATCGCTTAAGTGGCCGGAAGGGAAGAGTCAGAGGATTTGGTTTAAAATTGCAGCTCGCCTGCGAGAATGGTGCCTTTCTTTAAATTTACATCGGCAGCTCCAAAGAAATTAATTTTTTTTTTAAAAATACACAGCCTAAACTTGCGCAAAGAAGAGAACCTTAGTTTTGACATAATACTGTTTGTAGATGATTCAAGTTTAATAAACAAAATATCTCTTTTTGACCTAACAGTGTGTTCTCTAAGTGGGGGGGTGGGAATGTTCATTTTGAACATTCATTTTATGGAAAAAAGTCCGAATTGATTATTTTTTCCTGATGATTGCTTGCGTTAGGGAAAGGCTTTGTGAAAGGTGAATTTTAACACGAAGGCGCGTTATAAATAGGTTGGCTCCTCCCCTTTGTTTCAGCTCAAATGCAAAAATCATCCAATATGGCGACCAACGTTCCCACCATGAGTGAAACGGTCTGCATAGAAGACACACTTTAAGTGTTTTTTTTGTGTCAATAAATTAGAAGATATTGCGTCTTGTTGACTCTCATTCCCATAATTGAGCTCATTTTGATATTAATTGGCACTAACTTATCGTTCGGCCGCTCAAAGCGCTATCTGCGGTCGACGAGACACTCGCACAGTTGTCTTTTCAAAATTCGCGCCGTGTAACTTCGGCTTATGTCCCAAGCCCCTGATACAAACTGGTTCTTCGAGCCTTCAGATTATTCCCATTGAAACTAGCGGATTCATGACACATTCTATGCGCAATGCTCAGACTATTGTTATCTGTGACAATTCTGTGACAAAACCTCTAAAGTAGGGATGATTTCACAAGTAAGTGCGATTTTGAGACAGAATTTCACAACTCTAGTTCAGTTTGGAGAATAGTCTTGGCTGTCGCTGCTCGAAAGATATATTTATTGGGAAATTTATTCGTTATGGCTGAGGGAAATAAGCCATCTGTACCCAAGAAAAAGCATCCAACGGATCGAGGTCCACAGTTCTCGTTCAACATAGAAGTTCCTCGAACTCAGGAGAGCAGACTTCTCGGCATCAAAGACCGCATAAAGATGGCCAAAGGCTCGTTGAATCTTACAAAAGCGACGACAAGCACACAGAATGCAGATTTGATGGAAGCTCTTCTGTTAGCTTTTGAGGAGAAAATTGAGAGGAAATGACTGACATCGAGCGATCTGAGCTTATCATCAACGGGAAGTCCGAAATACACCATCCACAACTGCACGGTTTTCAATTCCTTCAGCTTCTTCCACTCCATCTTCGCGTATTTCTTTGCCTTTTGCTGATCCTTTTTCTCCAATTTCTCCTCCACAAGCAGAACGTACGCCACAAAGAATGCAAATCACTGCATCTTCAGCAGAGAACGACTCCTTATATCTCTGCAGTGAAGAATCTCCGCGAACTCTATTTTCTTTTTTTTCTCTAATACGCTAACGACATCATGTTGTTATTGGGGAAAACCCCTCGCTTGTGAGTCACTTGTTTTCAATCGACAGAGTCATGTAGTTTCAGTGACAATTTTATATGTTGGTGGAGATTCTTTCAAGTGGCTCTCCTCCCCTATCATGGGAGGATCTCCTCCAAAGTACTATGTAAATTTGAGGTGAGCACTCTTTTATTTTTGCTTGAAATTTACAGAAATTTGTTATCTCGGTATTTTACAGTTTTTGTTTTTTGTAACTGGTCACTTCTCTGTCTCTCTTTCATAGATTGATTCATGGAGTATTGTCCTGTGGCTTGACAGAGACAGAATACACAAGTTTCTGTCAAGCAGCCAACATCGGGTCAGAGGGAGAAAAGACCTCCGACACAGGTTAGCAATGCATATGCTCAGATGCTCTGACAATCATGTAGTCTTTCTCCTTGTAAGGAAAAGGCAGTCAACAGCAGTTTGCAGGTTGCTAAATCATGAATGTTCTACCAAGATAGCTCAAACTGACTGAACTGTTCCTTCTTTGGTTTGTGCCTTACCAGATGCAATTCTAAAATACTTCTATTTTTAATCACTTCAACAGTCTTGAAAAAGCTCAGTTACTTGACAGTCATGAAGAGGGTCTCCAATGAGTCGATGTTGGCTGCTCAAGAACAAGTGAAGAGTAACCCTGCATATGCTGTGAATGGAGAGGTACAAGTTGTCATTTTAATTTCATTTTGTCTTTGGCCACATACTTATACACCTGCCATACTCGGAATATATTATGTAGACTGGCACATACAAAAATATAAAATCTTATATCAGATTGTAAACCTTGAAAATATCTGTGAGTAGAGAAATGTGACCATTTTTATGTTTTGATTTCTACCATTTCTTCCTACAGTGTGTTATAACAGATGCAAGGCATGATTCCAGTCAATCAGCAGCACACACAACAGTGTCAGCCCTTTCTTTCTGGTAAGATGGTTTCTACTTGATCTCTTTGTATGATATGTTGAACCTCTGGTATGTTCAACACCATTCCTAAAATCATTTCATTTGCACTGATTATCTTTAGGACCAAAAAGGTGTTAGCAGTTGTCAACTGGAGTAGGGCCAATGAAACTTCAGCAGTAAGCTGTGAGGTCCCTATGACAAAAGAGCTGCTGACTTATCTCTCTGAGACACAAGGTATGATAAATTTGCATCCTCAATAATATCATATCACATATGTAATACAAATATGGAGATCAGAAGTATCTTTTATAATGCAGCTAAAGTAATTCTTTTTTCAGGGTTCCATGTTGCAGAGGTGGCATATGACTTTGTATTACAGCTAAAAACATGGATCTTGTCAAAAGGAATGCTTAATTCCTTTGACTCTTGGCATGGTACTCAGTACACACTTGTATTTTTTGGCTCATTTTGTCTTGATGATTATGACTATTTCTTGAAAGTTAGCATTTTATTGGTATTAATATATATTTTTTTATTTTCAGGTGCAAAGTCTGTGACTAAAGCAATGAAGGAAGTTGCCTCAGGGGCCCAGAGGGATGAGGGCTCAAAGTGGTTTTTTGAATTGTTCGACAAAGGTAAGATATCTCTCTTATGAGAGTCATCAAAAGCTATATTCTCTCCACAATTACCTGCAGATGTCAAATTCCTTCTTGATATAAGATGACTATAATGGAATATAATAATTCTGAATATTTTACAGTGAAAAGTACAAGGACTCTTGTATACTTCTGCATGAAGAACAGTCCACCCAATGAAGAAGAATTTCAGGGTACACTGTTGAATGTAGTTGACCATTACCAGGTAATTTGAGTGACTGTTTATTGAGAACATAGTATTTTGTTTTCATTTCTGTAAGTACCTTTTGTTGTGTTATTCTAGTAAGATATGACATGATCATTACCTCAAAGATTGCACATATTTCTTTAATAATGGTGAACAAGAGACATTATACTTACTATAATTATTACTACTGATTTATTAATCTATTTTTCTATAACTTGGTGTATTTATTACTCAGGGAAATCATGTCAGATGCCATGCGGAGTCACGGTGCAAGCAGAATGGCTATGTGATGAGCAAAAAACTTTTAACTAAACCTGAAGTAGTAGCTGCATGCAGGGAAGCCATTATGGGCACTTCAATTTATAGGCATGCATCGGACTACATGCGGGTAATTAATTGACGCATGCTGTATGTTTATGTTTCTTTGCATGAAGAAGTTTATCTCTTCTTCCAAATTAATGATGTTGAGGTAAGGGCCATAAATGAGTTGAACAAATTCATTTTCCAGTTAAAGAAAAATCACCCATAATTTGTTGCCTTCTTCAGTGCAGGGAAACATATTGGATTGAGTCTCTCCATTCAGTGATGCTCATTTATGCTGCAAAGCGGATTCATTATGGGGATGACACATACAACATGTGCATGGAGTTAGCCATTCTTGATTGGGTAAGAAACTTATGTTGTTAATTCTGCTCAATTACTTTGGCACTTTTTGGATTCACTGCCTTCTCTTGCTCATTGACTCATTTGTCTTACAGAATGAAAATGTGAATCGAGAAGCATCGTCTCTACAGATGTACCAACATACCAGGCATCCAAACCGCTTGGCAGAGACCAGGGTGCTTACTTCAAAGACATTTAATTTCAGAGAAACTATCTGGTCTACCTTTTTTAATATAAACAAATGATGTCTCTTCTGTTTTCCATTGCACCACAGTTTCTGTGATAATTACAACTAGGAGCCCAAATGTTCAGTATTAATATGTGAGGTCATTAGGGAGGACCAATTCTAACAACTGCTGGTACCAAGCAATGAAAACATGAATATTAGGTTTGACACAAGGTATTTCCAAGCAGACTCATTCTCTGTTTCCTCCTGTTACTTTTCTTTGCACTGTATATCTTTTCCTAACCTATAGGAAAGTCACTATAATTTGCTGTGTGGACATTGTAAAATGGACCATAAAAAAAAATTGGGTACTTGGGCTCTCTTTGAGGTGGGCATTTGTATGAGAATTTTATTATTCCCTTTTATGCCCCATATAGGCAATACCAGGAGGGTTAGGAAACCTTGAGCTCACATCTTTTATAACACAATTGGGCATCCTTTCCCGCACTACATTAACGTGGTCCCCCAGTTCGACTTTTCTAGCCTGGTAAACAGGGTCTTTCCAGAGCCCACATTTGTTCAATGCTCTCCAGTACGTCTTCTAATCTTTTCTACGTCGCACGTGATTTTGAATATGTGCTTCGCGATAGCCAAGGTATTCGCGACTGTCGGTCGTTACACATGGCGTTTGCCAACAGTAAATACACATTTCGAACTCGTCCCCTCTTGCATCAGCTATTGTGGAGACAAGGTGAAATAACTGTTAGAGCGAAAGCGCAACTGAACGGTCATGAAGTCTGATATGATCGTACAACTAGTCTTCCCGCCTACATTTTATTTTGGACAATTTTTATGCACATTTTTCATGTTTAATCGACACGTATGCCCATGGTGTAGCATAAAATATCGCAATAAATATAACTTGTAGTTCTAAAGAAATAACTCCTTTCAAAATATTTTTTGGCAGGACAAAACATTCTTAGGCGGGACAAAACGTTCTTAGGCAGGACAAAACGTTTCGTAGGTGTCACGCAAGGCTGCATTTCGGAAAGTGAAGGCATCAAAAGGAAGCAGTGTTAGACATGAACTGTCGCATCATACAAAAAAAATTTGTGGTTTCCAAGTATATTCTAACTAGTATTTCCTAGTTAGAAAAAAATCTGCAATTAGTTACTTCTAGAAAATTATTGCGTTACGCGAGTGTTTCAATCTTGGTGATACATTATCACAGTGATTGTTGGTATCGAACTGTAGTCCTAAGTTACCTTTCTAATGTATTGTTCCAAAGGTTAAAGATCATTCAGTATTGTTGTAATCATATTATACTTAGATTAAAAAAAAAAGAAAAATAAATCGCACCATTTGTGGAGGAAGCCCGTACAGATGATTCATTTGGCGACATCGATGCCTGGACATGTCCAAGTGAATCGGTGGTTGGCGGCGGTTCACTCGCGCGCTCCAGAACTTCGCCTGCAATGGTCGCTCTGCTTTTATTTTTCTTCCGTTGGGTTAACAGCACTTCCCCTTGGCATTATTGAAGAAATGCCTTGAACATTTCTTCATCTTTTCTTTTTATTCTAACGGTCATCTACATCCAGTATTTAAGAACAGACATGAAATTACGCCATGGCAATTTTAGGCGATGGCGAAGCGAATCATTTCGAATTTCAAATTTACCGCCACAAATGAAGAAGGTTTCGATCGGAAGAAGGTACTACAAACCTCAAAAAATTCTTCCATTGTGATGAAAACGTAGAAATTTACCGAGAAATGCGCCTCTGGTCAGTGCCTTGCATTGGCTGCAGCTCAAGCTGTTTTGGAGTGTATGCCACGACGGTTGATTGACAAATGATTCAGAGGACCTAAGGCACCTCTCCTTTTATGGCGCGCCTTCGTGTAACGATTGAAATCGGATTTCTGGTTAATTATAAAACTGTGAATTGATAATAAAGGTAAACTTTTTAAAAATGTTTTGTGATTGATGTATTACTTCGGATTGGGTGATGATATGGTCGCAGTAAATTAGATTAACGTAACGCAATTTGCATCCATACCACCATTTTCTTTTTTAAACAGTGGGATTTATAATAGTCTAAATAGGATTTCTATTAACATTTGAAACTGTGTTTTGGAACATGTGCGAGTTGGGATATAGGATTTGAATCCTGCCACCTCAATCTTAACAATTTTAATGCTTCAAGGATGTGATAGGATCTCTATTAGTCCCTTACAAATATGTGTGGTGCAACACGAGAAGGATGTTTTTTCACTAACAACTCTTGCAGCCTGACAAAAGGAGTAGTCAATTACCACGAAATTTCTTGATGTTGTTTTCGTGTAAAAATTTATAGCTATTTTCATACTTTTTCCTTAGAACAACTCATTGTAACCAGTCAGACAGATGTGCTCGCATATGCAAACAAAATTGATGCCAGAAAAATGCGGAATTGGTCACCAGCGATAGTTAAGAGGACATCCGTGCAAAAATCAAACAAAAACGACATTTTTATGGCAAGGGTCAAAAATTCAAATTGTCTCAATTTTTGCACACAAGTAGACCCTAGTAAGACAAGAAAGGCTGTGTATTTTTTTTCCTTAAATGTATTTTAATTTTCGAGAAAAACGAACTTTTCGCTTTCACCCTCTGGAATCGATGAATCGGGTCATAACAGGTCGAAAATTGAACACTTTCGCTCGCTTCGCATTTCAAAGATATTACGTCTAGGGAAATCTAACCAACGTGAGTTCTTTCATAGACTCTTTGTATTCTGTAAAATGTAAGTTATGTAGGAATTGGTTGCTTAGAAGCTTTTGGCCATGCGAAAAAGCAATGTGCTCTCTTCCGTTACAAAAAAATGTCGGTGAAGAAAACCTCTTTGTTCACCATGTGCCATAATTCAGAATTCCAAAAAATTACGTATGTAACTTTCTGAAGGAATGATCTTCAAAATGACGTAAAGTTTTCTTTGGGCAAATGTTTACTCGCGACGCAGGAAACTCTAAACTAAGTAGCACACGGAAGACATAAAATCACGCAATATGTTGATTGCGTGACCAAAGAGTTAAGGAGCATTCCTGCCTTCGAAATGACTTCGGATCGAACAGTAGAACTTTTTCAGAAACAAATGACATAGCTATAGCCAGTTTTGTTCAATTACTTTGCCTTTTATCATTTGAAGTTTGTTTCTGCAGAGATGTTCCGTCATCGTTCTGTCTAGTACGATTATGCACCAGTGCCAGTAACGGTATACGATTAAAAACTTTGCTGTTCTCTTGCATACGAATCTTAAGTTTCTGCCCATTGTTTAACTTTCTCTATGTGCTTACCCGTGCCTTTTAACTAGCACTCGATAAAAACCAACAGAGTTTTCAAAGGGAGGTTTTTGCAAGAGTTAAGTGGACTAAGTGAGGGCTTGCATGACCCAATTAGCATAATTGCAGTTATGGTCGCTCGACGGTCATTTTTTAAAATAAGCACAATTACGTGAAAAAGAAAAAGCAAGTCTAAATATCCATTTGGCTCTGATTTTGCCTTTATTTTTACCCAAGTTGATTTTTTCTGCTGAAGTGAAAACAATTTTTAATTACCGCAATGTCTGTTCGCTTTGTGACGTATAGGCAAGACAATTAAATTTACAAAACTTACTGATTAACCGCGAAAGATTCAATATCGCTTGTCTTAACTGTCACTGCTCTTAACAGCAAATAACCTTTTCGGCGCTTCTAACAAATTTCAGCTTCTTTATTCGGTAAAAATACAGTTGCGAAACTGTGTCAGCAGGACTGTACACCAAAAAATTCACAACTAACGGCAGCTGCAGGGACCATCAAACATTGTCATATATTCCCCATTTGCCTGACATTGGCAGTCCATGACAAGGCTTGTTAGAATATCGACATACGGCTTCTTCCTCTTAACGTCGACCTGGGAATTATCGAGTCCGAAAGAAGTACAAATGTCATTTAACACTTTGATTGGAAAGTTTTAAAGCTTAGAATTCTTAACTAGTTCACAAATGCTGTAATCGTTGTACAAGATTGGATGTGCGTGCTGAATAGAAATTTCAGACATCACCTTTTTACTCATTGCTTGTAGCTGGCTCTCCTTTTCTGCTCTCTTTGTCTTTGACCTCTTGGTGGTCGAGACTTCGCTTTGAGGCCAGACGAGAAAAAAACTAGAAATTTGCCTGCTTGTAAGAAACTCAGAGCAGTCAAATAGCTGCTCGCCGTTTTCGTCTTTCTCAGACCTCATTAATCTTGAGACACTTGCAGCATCTGCCTTTTGTCCCGTTTGTTCTCCAGTTTGAAACTTGGCTATCAAGTAGTCCTTTTGCTTATCAGTGAAACGAGTATTGCGAGAACGACTCTGCTTTCGGGCCCATCCCATTTCAAGAGAAGCTACAGACGATGACGGGTGGATTCCGTGTCCAGCAGTTGCGGCACAGCACTCGGTCCCTTCTCCAGTCTAGAGGCATACCCTAGCACGGCGCGGTCATAAAGAGTTTCATATTCAAGAACATATTTGTGTCTCCCACATTCGAGAGCTTCTGTAATGACGAATGGCGTTGATAGGACTTAATGCAACCCTCTTCCGAGCAGAAAAAAATATTTTAGTTGTGGAATCGCGCGATTCTTCACTTGAATCATCGGTACCTTCATCAGTGCTGTCTTTGTGCTTTTGAGATGTTTTAGCAAACTCAGATCGTCTCGGCTTGATAGGAACAAAATTAGCTTTTATGTTTTCGCTTGCTGCACTGCATTCAAGTGTTGGAACTTCGTCCTGGTCAGGAACATGGAACTTGCTCCAAGGAATGAATTTGCCTCCTCCAATTTTATAGCCGGATCTCCATACTCTCACACCTTCCTCGCCATTCTGAACGTTGTTGACAAAGCTCACAACATCCCATTTCACTGGCTTTTTGATGGAAGACAAAGGAGGTCTGCACGACACTGCTTTTACTCCAGGGACACCTTCAAATGATTCTATTGCCTCCTGCATTTGAGATACCGACTCTATATCGTGGCCTGAATTCAAATGGATGGCCATATGGGATTTGATCGTTGCTGGCTGTAACCAGGGTTAAAGCGTAGTGGTAATACCCGGCGTTGTCTTGTCTAAGATAAATGGATTGTAAATGAGGCATGACATCCTTCAGTCGTCGAAAGACGTCGTTAAGTAAGGCAAGAACTGTAGAACTGTCCTGGTTACAGGTCTCAAATAAGTGTACAAATGTCACAATCTTAATCTTGCCATCATTTCCCTTTCTCGTCGCAACCGTGATATACCATGCATCCTGCCGTTATGAGCTGTAAACTGGCTCCTCTACAACGCATGGACTTGAGGGTAATTAAAATTTGAAACCAAGATT